ATAAACGCGGATTGTTTTACGAAACTGGCGCTTTGATTCTGAAATTTATAGGATAATAACTTTATAGTCGTTTCTGGTGGCTTTTGCGTCGCAACGACAGGACTGCAAGCGTTTAAATACAACGTTAACGTTGCCTGAAAGAAGTCTTTAAGTTTCGCGATTGGGTAAGATATGCATATAAATTAGTAGCCTAAAGTAAGCTCCCTACATGTAAACAGCTGAGTATATATGAATATGATCAGCTTTCACACTAAATATTAATTAAACCGAAAACTTGAATGCGCCCCTATAAAGGCATAATAACTCATAATCATATTACTCAACTCCAAGTTTAACAGTACATCGTCCCGTGCTATAGAAACAGCAGTGAATTAAACCAATAAATATATATTAATTACTAATATAATCTCAAAAATCTTTTTGTATTCTAAACCAAAAGATGTAAATCATTCTGAGTTCATCTCTCGAAAAAACTACTTTCGTTCACTCCTCACTCCCCACTCCCCCTCATTTGAAGAATATACTAAAATGTGACGTCAACCCCCGGAAAATAATCTTACTTCCTATCGGAAAGACACAAGATCGAGATGTTGACAATGTGACAACGTGAAAAGACTGGGTCGACTGAACTCCGGAGAATCAATGTCAGTTACGAATAGTGTTCTGCCTCGCTGACACTCGGCAGCAATTTAGGCTTATTTTGTTCTATGAGGCCTCAATCTGAGGCTGTATTATAAGTTTAAGGACAGTTGAATGGTATTATTTTGTTCTATGATTTTACACTCATTTTGAAATCAATGGCCCGGTTTATAGGAGAGACGGATTATCCGTCTGGACGAATGACCCGTCTAACATTCTTTCGTCGAGTATAAACACAGGACAAACTATCTAGATGAACTATGTCAGAATCGCGCGTTTAGTAATGCACAGGGATTGGGAACGAATATGCATGGCAGAGAAATCCAAATTCAAAATGATGGCAAAAATGTGTGAAACATTTATTAGTTTGTAGTTCGTCCCCACCTTGTAATAGGGAGTTTACGATCTACGACGCGGTTAGCTCGACGACGCCTGGCAATTAATTTGCTTGAAATAAGCTACAGGAAATTAATTATACTGCTAGGACTCTGAAATAAACATACAAACGTTTTAATTGTGCAAAGAACCTCCGATATCTAGCTGATATTGCAGTTTCATTTGAGGCCGTGAAAATGCCTCATTTGAAGGCGCCAAAAGCCCTAGTTCCACGGGCTAAATTTTCAAGCGAAATGCAAAATACTTCGCCTGCTTCTTTTGAATTGTGAGCAATGAAGCAAAATTAATTTCTTCAAGTGGTCAAAATTCAAAAAAAAACAGGTGAAATATTTCGCATTTCGCCGAGGAAAAGCGTCCGTGGGATTAAATCGTCGCTCTCCAACTTTAAGAAGTGTATTACGTATAATTTCCCGTATTCGCAGGTAGACTGTGAAATTGGAAGAAGTTATCTTCCTATGCTATCAACAACAGTAGCTTATTATACACTGAGTACTGACAAAATTTCATTACTAGGTATGTATTGAAAACAATCACTTTGGATCACTTTGATCATAAATCTAGTAACTTGAGAAACACGTCAGCCGGATATAGCTACACTGTAGTAGTTGTTTCATCCTCTTCGACATTATATCTGCGTAAATATAATGGGCTCTAATTCACAAAATTGGGATTGGGAACAAGGTATCGAGATAGTATCTCTCCTTGCACAGGGGGCTGCACAGCTTTATCAAATGGGACAATGTGAAGAGAATGTAGAGGAGGCTGTTAGAAAGGGTATTGAATGCGCCGGCCGAGGGGATCATAGAAAAGCTCTCGAGTATTATGAAGAAGCTTTGACTATTTCTCAAGAGAAAGGATTTACACGACACGAAACGAATATCTATGTGCAAATAGGATACTCGAGCTTTCACGTTGGGGATTACGAACGTTCCATCAACTTCATGAAAAAATTTTTGAATGATGGAGGCGAAGATTTAAATGGAATTGTCAATTCTATTTTGGGTTTGTGTTATCAGCATAATGGTCAATACAAGGAAGCCATTCCATATCATGAGAAGAGCTGGAAAATTGCTTCGCAGTTGGGAAACAATGAAAATTATGGAGTGGCGAGAGAAATTTGCAATTTAGGGTTTGCTTACAAAGGTTTGGGAAAACACGAAATGGCTAGAAGGAACTTTAGTGAAAGTCTTCGAATCTCAAAATACTCGATGTACAAGGATATAGAACAGCAGGTACATATGGGTATTGGTTGCATTCACAAAGAGTTGGGTGATTACGAGAGAGCTATTGGATGTTTCCAGCAGTCTTTGGAACTTGCCGAACAATTGGTAGACAGAAAAGGTATCGCCCTTGTGTACGAACGTTTGGGTGGAGTAAATTTTGCCCAAAATCGATACAAGCGTGCCATTGAATATTTTGAGAAATGCTTAGATAAAGCCCGCAGAATTGATGACAGAGTTTTAATTGCATTAGCCTACAAAAACTTGGGCCGTGTGCACCAAAAACTTAATGAGCTGCAAGAGGCTATAAACTGTTACCAAGAATACTTGAAAAGAGCTGATGAAAAACGTGACAGATCTGAAATAGCCGAGGTAAATATTCTACACATGGGAGTCTGTTACGTTGAACGTAAAGAGTACGAAAAAGCCGTTGAGTGTTATCTTAAAGGTTTAGAGCTGGTAAAACAACTGGAAGACAAGAAAAAAGAAGGAAATGTCCACGAAAATTTAGGAGATGCTTACGCAAATCTATCTAAATATAACGATGCGCAAAAGCATTACACGAAAGCTCAGGTGATTGCCAACCTTGACGCCGAAGGAGGTAGAAAATTGAAAGGACGCGTTTGTCTGAAACTAGGAGATGTGTTTCGCATTCAGGAAAAGATCTCGATGGCTATTTCGTGCTACAACGAGGCTCTGAGAATAGCCGAAAGTTCGAGGGACCCAGAAAGCGAGGCAGATGCTTTGGAACGGTTGGGAAACGCGTTTTACTCTAATGGCAATTACGATAGCGCTATTGAATATCACGAGAAAAGTTTGGACCTCGCAATAAAACTTAACGACAAGAAACGAGAGCAAAGAACACGGGAGAATTTAGGCGATGTCTGCGCCTCCTGTAAGAAGTGGTCGAAAGCCAACAAGTGGTACAACAGTTCTCGTGCTTTGGCGAACGAACTTAACAATGCCGAAGCAGTTTATAATTGTGAAAGAAAGATGGGAAATACATATTATGAAAACCAAGATTACGACAATGCCATCTTTTATCACCGACGTTGTTTGAAAATTGCAGAAGAAAAAAACGAGAAAGCAGGAATTTTAGAATCGTCCCGAGTCTTGGGCGATTCTTACCGAAAGGTCAACCAACCTGAAAAATCTTTGCAGTTTTACAAGTATTTCATAAAAATGGTCGGTACGCAGACGAGCAATTTAGAAAGAGCAACTGTTTACCTTAAAATAGGTAAATCGTATGCAGAGATTGGTGATTCCGATAATGCTATTGATTCGTGTTTAAAGTGTTTGAATCTTGCTGTGGATTCTGGCGACTTTAAATTGAAAGAAGAAGTGCTTGAGATGTTGGCAGATGAATATTACAACAGGTATCAATTTGATAAAGCTTATAAATATTATCTGGAAAACCTTGACATCGCAGGAAGAGATAAGCGATGCCAAATATACTACAAACTTGGCAAAACAGTCTCTGCTCAACATAGATATGCCGAGGCAATTCAGTTTTTTGAAAAAGCACTGGAACTTTCCCAGAGCCTGGTAGATCCAAATGTGGATTTTGAAGCAGACATCCGAGAAGCCTTGGCGGGCACATTGTTTTTGAATACTGATTACGAAGATGCCATCAAACAACATTCGGAAAATTTAGAATTTGCCAGAAGTCTCACCGACGAAAAAAGACAACAAAGTGAATACGAAAACCTCGCTAATTCGTACAGTGCCAAAGAACAATGGCTGCTAGCCATTGAGAACTATTGCCATTCTGGCGTTGTTGCTAAAAGGTTACACGACGAAGAAGCTGTACAGAGATGTGAGAAATTCATGAAAGAGCAGGCTTTTGCCTTGGAATGTTTATGTAATGACCACATCCTCAACGGCGATTATCGAAAAGCTCTTGATATGCAAGAGAAGTACGTGGAACTTGCTAGGAAAATTGGTGACCGTGTTCAAGAGGGCAACGCCAACTGCAACATAGCCGAAGTACATCTGGCAAGAGGTCAATATGAAGAAGCGGTAAGGTTTAGCCGTAAAGCATTGGGAATTTCTGACAACGATAGCGGCAAAGCAAGAGCAAACGATATTCTGGGCTGTGCTCACGCGGCACTTGGCAAATATATAGAGGCAGAACGTTTTCTTTTGGAAGAAATCAGCATCGTCGAAATATTAGACGATAAATCAGGAATTGCCCGCGCTAAAGGAAACATCGGAGTGGCTCTTCTTGGTAAAGATGATCAGCGTGAAGCTGCGGCTTGTTTTCGAAAAGAATTGAAGCTGGCGGAAGAAATTGGAAACAAAAAGGAAGAGGGTCGGGCAAATGAAAATTTCGGACGTTACTACGCTGCAATTGGTAAGTGTAATGAAGCAATAGAATATTACCAGAAATTCATGCGGATTGCTGAAGAAATTGGTGATAAGGCGGGTATTGGCAGAGCAAAAGGAGCAATTGGTACTATGTTAACGGAAATGGGACAATATCAAAAGGCAGTCAAATACCACGAAGAAGAAAGAATCATTACGAATGAGCTTGGGAATGAAGTACGAAAAGGTCAGATGCTTGGAAACCTGGGCAATGCCTACAAAGGGCTGTGTGATTACGAAAATGCTATTGCCCTTCAAAAGACGAGCTTGCAGATTGCTGAAGATAACTATGTCGAATGCGACGAGAGACGTGCTTACGAGACCTTAGGAAATACTTACCTTGCGAGTGGCCAATGCAGAAAAGCACTTGAGTACCAAAATATGGCATTGAAACTTTCTCAACAGCTTGGTCACAAAGCAGCCGAAGGACGCATTCACCAAAGTATGGCAAAGTCGTACTATTTGAGTGGTCAGATTGAAAAGGCTCTTAATTCCGGTAAGAAAGCATTGGCTATTGCTGAAAAGGTCGGCGACAAAGCTGGAGAGGGGCGGGCTTCAGGAACAATTGGGAATGCATACATGGAGTTCGGACAGAATATGCAAGAAGCGAGATCAAAATTTCGTGAACACCTGAGGATAGCGAGGGACCTTTGCAACAAGGCAGACGAAGGAGATGCCCTGGCAAGCATGGCCCCTTTCTATATCGAGATTGGACAGTACAGCAAAGCACTTGAATGTTGCAATAGCTGTTTGAAAATCGCAGAAAACCTCCAGGATAAAGCCCGCGAGGGAAGAGCTTACGGGAATTTGGGTAAATTCTATATAGCAGTTGGTCGATTGGAAGAGGCTATTGAAAGCCATCAACGACATTTAAAAATTGCCACGGAGTTGGACGACAAGGCTGAAATAGGAAGAGCCAATGGGAATCTTGGAAATGCCTACAGCAAAATTGGTCAGCACCAACATGCAATGAAATGTCACAGTAAAGATAAAGACATTGCCGAGGAGCTTGGTAACGAAGCTCGAAATGGACGGGCGCAAGGAAACATGGGAATTACGTACGCCAACATGAAACAGTTTGAGAAGGCCTTCAATTGTCATCTTGAACATTTGAGTATTGCCGAGAAGCTTAATGACAAATCATCGTTGGCAAAAGCTTTACTTGGTTTGGGGGAGTATCATAAAAACCACGATCAATTTGAGAAAGCTATTGAAAATTTTAATCGCTTACTTGAAATCTCAAGACCTGACCTTGGCAGTCCAGAATTAACGGCAATTGCGCAAGAAATGTTAGGACAATGTTACATAAACTCCGATCCTTCCAAGGCATGTTCGCTTTTCGCAAAATCAATAATAAATTTTCAAGACATACGTAAATCCTTACGTGAGCATGATGAGTTTAACGTTTCCATGTCCAATAGATTCTCCCACGTTCATAAACTGTTGCTTGAAAGTTTGCTCAATTTGAAAGAGGTGCAGACAGCCCTTGTTGTATCCGATTGTGGCAAAGCACAGGCTCTGCGTGATCTAACCTGGAAAAAAGTTCAATCGTGTGACGATATACCTTTCGACAATTTCTACAAAGAAGATCCAATGGAAACCATTGCCTTAGATCCATCCCCAAGCAGCTTGGAAAATCTAATCGTCGATTCGTTTAACAACATATTAAATTTTCGACAAGCAGACGCAATCATTTCGTATGCATTTGGATCAAATGGGGAATTGAATTCGTGGGTGATCTCTCAAGGCGTATTTCACAAGTCGTATAAGATCCCGCATGAGAGATCGATGAGAAACTACTTACATCGACACATTTCCTGCCTTAAGGGCAACCTGAACGTCAGAACTGCGCAGAGTAGTTTACGGGAAGATTTCAAAGTATTGCCTGATATCGAATTGTCAGAAAGCAACCCTCTGTTTTCGATGTCGGATGAAAATGAAAATTATGAAGGTGAAAACATAGCTGAGATTCATCATCTTAGAAACACGGATTTCGTGAACAATTCATGCTCTCGAAAACCAAGCCTTTCGACCAAGAAGTCAGCCCAGAGCGCTCCCTATAATGTTGACCTGCAAGACCTCTACGCTGCCTTAATCCAACCTATCGAGGAACACCTTTATGGTTCAAAACTGCTCATCGTTCCTGAGGGACCTTTGTTTACGCTCCCATTTCCCGCTCTTCTCGATCCTAGTGGGACTTACTTATGCGAAAAGTACAGCTTACAATTCATCCCGTCTTTGCACGTGCTTAATTTCTGTTTATCGAGACAACCAGCTCAGCTCGGACCCGCTTTGTTCGTAGGAAATCCGGAGATTGACATGGCTGAAATTGATGGCCAACGTATTAAGCTACCCCCCTTACCAAACGCTGAACAAGAAGCTATTGAGTGTAGCAAGTATTTCAATGCGCAACCGTTGTTAAAACACCAGGCTACCAAAGAGAAAGTTCTGAGAGAAATTGGAAATGCGAGCGTTGTTCACATAGCATCACATGGCTATTTTAAACACGCAGAAGTATTTCTGGCACCCAATGACGGAGCACCAGATCACCCATCATCATATCTGTTAACTGCTGAAGATATCCTGAGGTGTCGCCTGAATGCCCGTCTTGTTGTCCTGAGTTGCTGTGATAGTGGCCGTGGTGAAATATCTTCGGAGGGCGTCGTCGGCATCGCACGTTCGTTCCTCGGATCCGGAGCACGTGCCGTCCTCGTGGCACTTTGGCAAATCGACGATGCAGCCACGATGGAAATCATGATTGAGTTTTACGATAAGATGGTCAACGGCTGTTCCGTGTGTAGTGCGCTACGGCATGCGATGGTTGCAATGAAGAAAAAATACCCACCATCTGCTTGGTCGCCATTTCAAGTAATTGGTGAAGATATCGTATTAACCTATGAGGAAATTGAAGAAATTCGCCGACTATCTGTCTCGAGGTAAGCTAAATGTCAGATTCACTTTCCAGTTTTTTCGTGGGAGGAATATGCTGTTTTAGCACCTAGCTAGGCGATCATGATCAACGGTGTAAAAAATGTCAAAAAATTCCGGGCTATGCCGCTGAGCTTACGCCTGTATTTCAAAAACTCACTCACACTCACTGGAAGATCTGAATCACGTCTTTAAGACTGCATGGCAGTATTTCCACTTGAATAAGAGCTTAATTTTCAGTTTCTTATACTTTGAGTAGAATCTTCCTAATGATCGAGAAAAGCTTCTCACATTGATAAGTAATCATAGATTTTCCATATCACGCTCAAGGAGTATGAGTTAACTTTTTGAATACAGGGATTCTTTGCAATTTAACACTTGGTATAACACTTGGTGTAAACCAAATATAGTTTAGTAGTTGTGATATTAAATCTTTTTAAATTTAACGTTTATTCATTCAGTTTGAAGGAGGATGCCGTTCCTTCGGCGCAGAATGTTTATGGCAACGATGGTAAGGACACAGATTCTTTGGATGAATTGATTGCAATGCTTTCTTTGGAAGGTCTTACATAGTTGAGGACTGTCATTGTTAAAGAATGAAGCAATCCAGTAAAAAGAATATTTGTTTGCAAATAATATTAGTACTAATTACAATATTAGAATATTAGTACTAATCATGCAACGTTGGGTAATGAGCTTTAACTTATACGATTACAGAAATTGCATGATAACATGTATGACCCTACAAACTTACGATCAAGACGATAGTTATGAAGAGTTTACATTCAGCTGTAAATTTAAATTGAGTGCATGTTAGAGACGAATAATAATAGAATGTTAGGGATTATAATAGTACATTTTCAGTTATGTTTGAAAATTTCGTCAAAGTTCTGAATCCCTAATTGTAGTAGCGATATCGATTGATTATTCGTGTAGCATAGTGATTTGTGTAGCATTCATTATTCGTGTAGCATGCTAGTAGCATAAGACAACCCCCCTGGTGGGATTAAAAGCCGGAACGCCATGCAATAAAAAAATATTGGAAAAGGCAAAACAATCGTATAAAAGTTTGCCGCAGGACTACCTTTTTAGAAGATGATGTTTTTAGAAATCCAGATAAAAATGACGCCTTTAGAAATCCAGATGTGGCGCTTTATAAGTTTTAAAATTTTACACCGTAAGCATATAAATACTTTGTTTAGTTTGGGAATTGAACCGCTGTATTGAAAAATGCTATACCCATGCTAAAAATGCTATACCATATCTATAGTATGGAAATAGCAATTAGTATGGATATGTTATAAACTTCCTTACTATTCCATAACATGGATTTTGAAAAGAAAATTCAGTGTCGAGGCAGGTTGTTAAATTAAGGCTATCCATTGTTTTGCTTTGTATGCCTATGCACTGCTTTTCGTTTCAAAATTTTCAGAAATAAGACTTCTATCTTGGATGGGTATAACTTATCTCCAGGAAACATTTATAGAAAAAGAATGTTCAATTTCATTAACAACAGTTTAGAAAAGTGATGTAAGAATTACTCAACCAAGGTCAAGCCCACCGGCTTTAAAACAATTGGCCGCGCAGTATAATTATAGAAATAAATTCACTTCCTTCAACCAATCAGCATCCAGTAGTTTCATCATCCCAATGAGAGCTTACATTATAATTCGTGGAACAAATTCAGTTCAACATGGCAATGTCAAGAAGTACCGCTGTTGGCTCGATAATAACTGGTTGTATATTGCTGGGTTTTGCTGTCGTCATTGGGATCTGCATGTGGCGCGATTGCAGCGAGCAAATTGTCAGGCGATTCAGCTGCCTCAGCCGGTCCGTGGTCGCTTTATGTAAGTATTTGTGTAATGACAGCTATAATAAAGGTTTTTTAACCTAATCGTAACTGAAATAACGAGAATTTTAGCAATCGAGTTTTTCCCTCTCGTCATCTTCATGAAAATTAAAGCAGTCCTGAATGTATACATAACGTATAACAATGCCATACCATAATGTAAAGCCTTCTCCGGCAACACTGTTGCTTTTCTTTTAAACGAATATCAAATATCTGTAAAGTCTAGGAAGTATAATGGGGACAATGTCTAAAAATCAAAAGCGGTGTCCCTACACACCAAGCAAATCTATTTTAGTGTTGTGTGTGAATGTTGTTGTGTTTTGAAATTTGGGCAAAAGCGGAAATATGTCGTATCATAATCGCATTGTCTCAAAGGAAATCAATCGGTTCTTCAACTTTCAGCTATATCTAAATGACCATCGAGTTTGTAGTTAATATATCAAATGAAAGAAAGGGTTTCAGAAGTTACAAGTTACATGAACAATTTTAACGCCAGTATTTAATATAGCTACACGCGCAGCAACTGTCATCACAACGAAATTAATCACGTCGCGGTTGGGCGTCTTTTCTTGTTTTTTTTTACTATGGAATAATATTAATTTTAGTCTTGGAAACGGCACTTTAGCTTATTTTTATTTGAGACAGATCACTCATCTTCGAAGTTTATCAACTTCGCTTTTAGTAGCATTACAGATTACACACATAATTAGTGACATTAAGATCATTTAATAACCAGCGAGCCAGCTTGTTGTAGCCATTTCTACACGACTATATCAATCATATTATATTATAACCAGCACTATATACACTTCTACATTATACTAATTTATTCTTTACATTCTATTAATATTTTAATCCCCACCCCCGCCATAATTAGCAGGTGATTAAAATACCTTAGTAATGTAGTAGACTATTGATATATAGTAGTGTAGAATTCGACAACGCACTGCAGAAACACTTACCAGTCACATAAATTATTATGTTCGTCATCAAATTAGAGATCTCATGCATTAAGACTGCATGGTTTCCATTAAATCGTAATTTTCCTGAACGAGTCCTTGAACGAGTCATTATCACCGATGAGAAATAGTGCGATGAGAAATTTGTATTTTTTTCTGTGTTCAAATCGGTTATTGCTCACTGCACTACATCAGCCACCTTGACATGTTCACGACAATTATACGATTTAAGGCCGACACACACCAAACGCGATCCGCCAACGCGAATTTTTACGAATTTTTCAGTTTTCAGAAGTTGCTAATTTCGACAATGTGACAATACTGGTAATTACCGATTGATGGTACATTTTGACTGGTCTGGTACCCATATCTTGCAAAATATTCTTTCAGAATTGAATTTACTCGTTTCTAACAATGAAAAATTTGCGTCGCTTTAGTGAATCGCGTCCAGCGTGTGTGAGCCTTTAATGGAACAATGCAGGCATTACCGCAACGTGCTCATGAACAGTGGACGAGAAAAGAAAGAGGACAAAAGAAAACGTGGTTTTAAACGTTGCACGTTGTGACCAGGCGGCATCAGTTGATGTGTTGATCGACTTTATTTATAGATTTATGATATTTAATAACTGTTTGAGAGGGTGAGAGGAAATTTAAAGAGGCAAATCAAGTCAATGCTAACTCGTATTTTTTTTGAATGCCATATTATATTAAAGTGAATGTATTTTTATCACTGCAGTGTTGTCGTTGTCGTTACCGTTTTAGATCGCCAAACTCTCCACTAAATAGTCGGGGTCCAGGGATACCTACTCGCGGGTACAAGCTCGGTGACCGGCCGTTTTAAACGGAATATGCACCCCTTTGAGAAACTTTCTGGTTACATTAAATGTTAAATATTTTGCCTTTAGTATGCTGTGCCAGGAATACTGACCATTGTTGCCGGCGCAACTAAAAAAGGTGTTGTGGTAAGGGAAAAGTATTTCGTTGCGACTTAGTGGCAATCTGGGGCCGGTTGTATGAAATCCGGGTTCAGCAATCCAGCTATCCACAGTATAGTGATTTTTTCAACCGTTCTAAATTACTCGAAGAGTTGAAAAGCGATAAAATTTCTTCTTTAGAACGAACAATTATTAAAGAGATCCAGCTCGATTTAGGAATACTAAGATTTAACCAAATTTATAGCAAATAATAAGCGATTTTAAAGCGATTGAAAAAATTGATTTAAAATCACTCATTCTTTCGGTGGATAGCGCTATCCGGCTTTCATACAACCGGCCCGAGGCCGAGCTCTTTACCCAGCTTAAAAAGAAGAAAACTGTGGCAACTGTTACATCATCGGCAATTGTGGCGTATTGTATATACGCCGGGTCAGTATACGATATATTCTGATCACCTTGTCAAGATGTTTTATCAAGTTGACTACTAAGTAATAACTGATTTTACACGACGATATAAGTAATTTTACGGGCAACTTTTGTTGCGATTTTAGTTACTTTTTTTTTTCTTTCGATAGATGTGATCGAATGGATAAGTTAGGTTTAAGGGATGTTGTTAAAGAACCCCTTAAATATATAGAGCATTTCATAACTGTTCACTTGTTCATTCGTTTGCATCTGTCGAAAGTAGAAAGTCGTAGAACCTAAAATTGAGAACCGCCCTTAAGTGGGTTAGCGCAGGAGACTATGCATAATTATGACCATGTGTATAATTCACCATGTGTAGTACAATTCACAATTTCAGTCAAAATTTCTAAAATAAACAAATATAAGGATATTTCTTTATTTCCAAATAATAAATGCGTTTTAGATGGGCTTCGCCTTGTTCTTCAATATCATCGCAGTGTTTGTTTCTCTGGGCGCTTCATTGGCATTGACCATTTCAACCATTCAGTTAAGTGAAGTCAAGGAGAAAAATATGATCTGCGTGAACGACAGAGATACCTGCACCTGTTCATATCGTGGGAGATCTGATGAAACAGGCCCTCACTCGTGTGAGTTTAAATCATACAATCTTGGTCAGAAACCTGTAGTACGATTGTTAAAAAATCATAATTATGTTAGTGTTCATCGTCTCGTTGAATTTTGGTGACTAACGGATTTGAAGAAGAAATTAATTCAATTCGCCCGCGAAAAATCACCTCCGAGAGAGTTCGCAGCGCTAGCCCGCTAATAGAAAATTCTGAATAGAAAAATATGTGAGTTATCAAATCATTTAATGGCTTCTACTGTATCTCACTTGAAATCCTTTCACCCTTTCAGTAATTACGACACCACATTAGCTTTTAAATTGAGAACCAAGTTAAATCAAATGGATTTCAAGTTTCATTTTCACTATAGCCACGTGCAAAACACCCTTCTTCGACACATGAATCAAAAGGATTTTTTGTTTTGACCAATAAATGTGGAAACAAGGTATAACACTAAAACGAAGCCCCAAGACCATCTCATTTAAGTTGATTCTAAATCTAAAATGATAACGCTGTGACTTAATCATCGTAATTATGTGTAATTATCGAAAGGGTCTCTTGTTGATTTTAGTAAATTGTTTCTAAAAAGGTTTTTCTTTACTTTCTACAGGGAACATGCACTGCTAAGATTTCGATACAATTCATATCTTAACCACCGTTTGCCTTGTCTTTTTCATCTTTCTGATTATCACCACCTTCACCGCGTCGATGTTTGGTTGCATGGGTACCTGCTGTGCTCATGCGGTGAGTATCGACGCCGCACGCGTTAAGCTTTCTATTTTATAAGGCGAACGTGAAACAC